AAATGTTTGCACCCAGCTACCAAACACCCTGTATAACAAAATGTAAATTAGATGATTTTTTCAGAATTTACCAAAGTTATTGGAAAAAAGCAGTCGTAACCTATAATTAAAATTTTCAATATTCTTTTGAAAATACTTTTAATTGAAAGGCATTTCAATAAAATATTCAAAACTATGGGAAGTATGGAACAAATGGAGAAAACAATCACACCCTCGAAAAATATGTAGCTTGTATCGTGGTTATTGGATACGTATCTTGATAAGTAGAATTAGAAACCTCTGGTGTAGAATTATTGATTGAATCTATCGAAAATACTTTTTCCTCAACATAACGAAAATCTGTCCCTCAAGACGTGCTCCGCTAACCAAGTTAGCATTATCAGAAGATTCATATAAACATGTATGAATATATGGATGTAAAATATTTTCATCAAACCTATTCTCAAAAATAGGAATATCATGCATGCAAGTCCGACTTCATTCATAACTTCAAATGTGCATTCAGTATGAAATATCAGAACAAACCGTATTTTTAAATAATTGCTGTTCATTTATCAAACTATTACAAAAGATAGTGTTGCGTTATCCAAAAATTGCAAATGTATTAGATAAAATCCAAATTGTTTTTATCATAAAGGAAACCAAATTTTATGAATTCTATAGAAAAACATACTCTGGAATGGTATATTTATCAATTTATTGTGTCTTTTTTTCTAGAAAATTGACTGGTATTATCTACTTGAATTTTCTGATTGATTAATATATTACCATGATATACTATATCTATGTTGTTAGAACAATGTTCTGATCTACTAAATCTACTTCAATTGAATTTTATAAGCGAACGTATAGGAATGTTTCAGTTTGTTTCTTATTCATCAAGTTGCCTAGATATCTTTGTGAGATACTGATGTCATATTCTGTTGAGATGCAAACTAACATTCATAAGCTTTCGGAATACAAATTGCATACTCCGTTTTAGATTTTTTCTTGTCTTATAAAAAAATATTTGCAAAATTTCATAATTTACTCAAACACCTCTGCATATTGGGGTTCAGAAGAATCATTCATTGAAAATTTGTAGTTGAGAACTATTTACCATTCATAGAATTCGAAGAACATTTTTTTTTTGCCAGATCCATTTCATATTCTGATCCTCTACGTTCTGAAGAAGTGCCAAAGCACACCAAACTTGATCCATCTGTAACATACATCATTTGGAATGAATAGTAAAAAAAACTTTCAGTTTGCAGTATAAAACCAAATTGTTCTCATTATTATACTCATTCACTATGTGGAGATGCATTATGAAAATGCTTCATTTCAAACTTCATCAATTTTTCTAAAATTGAAGGTGAAAATGGTGAATTTCATGGATTAGTATTGGATGAAATGTTCTGGATTTATACATTTCCATCTTCATATAGAAAAAATGTTTTCCGAAGAAATAAAAAGAAACAATTGATTTCAAAATAATGTTTCCACAAAGATGTGTAGATTATGCAGAGAAGTAACTTTTGAATACAAACAACATATTATGAGAGTTTTGATATTGTTTTCTGCAGCAACCAATGAAAATTGTATCATGACGTGAATATACCCTAACAAGTTGGAATAAAAAATTCGAAGACAGTTTAAAATTCAACAATGCGATCCATTCTGGCGACTTTGGTTGGGGATCGTTTAATACACAAAATAGATGCGCATCACATCAGAATTTACTTCAACATTATTTTATGAATATAAAATCTCACTCGAACAGATATATTCATTTCAATTTATTCTGGTCAGTCATGAATTATTCATAATTTTTATGTAGTATATCAGAATTTTGTTGAAAAATTATTGTGATTCAACAGTTTCGTAAACAGGAATTATGTAAATGAATGACACAATTTGAAGATAAATATAATTGAATTGAGAGTTCTATCTGAAAAGGTTCTACGAAACAATGCAGAGATTGTATTTCAGCAAATAATTGACTTGACCTACTTTTTCCATTGAGGGATCCCTTAAATGGAAACCCTTGCTGATACTGATGTCTGTGTCCCTTCAACAAAGTTTCTCTTATCTTTCCCTTCTGCTCCAGAGACAATATCTTATTATTATTTGTATCCTCCAAAACCAAGTCTGCAATCTGCTCCATGGAAGATGCCTCCATATCCAATATAACGATCTCCTTGGCTATGAGCCTTCTTAATTCAAACAATGATTTCAAGGAAAGAGATGCAACATAAGGTTTAGACCACCGATTACCTTCTTCAACGTCTTCTTCAAATTTTATCCATCTGGCAGTTTCTTTCCACTTTACATCATCACCTTCTATAACAAGCTTTTCTATTTCAGAGAAAAGGGGGTGACTCTCATGTTTTATATTTTCCTCTATGAAGAAACATCGAAGACGCTGAGCTGGTGAAGTATCTATAAAAAAACGTACAAAAGATTCAGATGACGATAATCTCATATCAGTAAAAATAGATTAGTGCAAAAATTATAATAAATGACGTATCATAATAAAAACCAACAATTTTGTGACTCATTTGTTATGAAACCAGGCATCTCATATATTTGAACTCATTCTCACTGTATGAATTCGGTGACGTTGAAATGTGTTAAAAAATCTCGATATCAGTATAAGAAGGTCCCTACGTTTCTTGTTGTACTTGTAGTTGGATTGGATGGCGGACTAATCTCTGGTTGGATTAAAATTGGGTGTATTTTCTGTGATAACTTAAGAGTATAGAAAAAAATTGCTTTGTGTCTATAAAAGATTCAAATGACGATAATCTCATATCAGTACAAAAGATTAGTGCAAAAATTATAATGAATGACGTATCATATCAAAACCAACAATTTTGTAACTCATTTGTTATGAAACCAGGCATCTCATATATTTGAACTCATTCTCACTGTATGAATTCGGTGACGTTGAAATGTGTGTGAAAAAACTCGATATCAGTATAAGAAGGTCCCTACGTTTCTTGTTGTACTAGTAGTTGGATTGGATGGTGGACTAATCTCTGGTTGGATTAAAAAATTGGGTTTATTTTCTGTGATAACTTAAGAGTATAGAAAAAAATTGCTTATTTCTGTATTGAGAACATTGAGGTGAATTCGTTGAATTTTACTGACGTTTAGGAAGAGTTTGTTGTCTCTGACCTAGTTGAAAATGTCTTCAAGAATAACTTGTGAAATGATAATGAGCCACTGTATATCATTATGAAAAACAATCAGGTTAGTTTTACTAGGAAAAAGTGGAATAGTTTCTCCTGGAAAATTAATATAACCACATCTTTTCAAATTATCGCTGCTTCCAAGGCAGGGTTATATTATCATCAATAACTCAATTCTCACATACATCTTTCAAACAATATCTTAGAGATACCGAGTTGGTACTCAAGCTTATTCAGATGCATATCATGGTCAACGCAACCAAAAGCCATGGAAATATTGCATTAACCCAAGGAATGCTCAATGTTTTCAATAATTTTATTGAATTGTTCTTACGAAATGAATCAACAATCAATTATAGAATATTGAATAGAAGTAATTTTTTGTCAAGGAATTCAGACATTTTTGTTGACTTTGCTCGATTTTTCATTTTTCGTTCAACTTGATGTTCATTATGTGATATCAATAACTTTGTTGAGTTATTTTAAGAATTCGGCTCAAGTTTTGGAAAAAAATATGGGACCATCAATAAAAAAGACCAAATGGCTGCCAATAAACCACATATTGAGAGATGAGAGCTCAAAGAATCAGCATAGGTATATTTCAAATCAGGGAGAAGTAAGTGTATTTCAAACGGCTCTTCAGAAATGGATCATACTTGTCTTGAAAAAAAATATTGATAATGCAATAGACCGATATCACAGAAAACCTAGTACTACATCGATTTTTCCAGAATTCAATCAACAACAATGATATATTTTACATTTCGAAATCATTCCGATATCTGTTGAGAACATTGGAAAATGAAGGTAAATAGAGGGAATATCTGCAATTTATATTTAATTCTTCCCTATTCTGAAGACGGATGCAAATTTCAGTTTCAAAAACGTCAAAATAGACATTTTTTGTATTAGAAGTTATCATAAACGACAAGTTACTGATACATACTGATAAAAGTTTACTCTTTCTACACCTGTATGAAGTTCTCTTTCATTTTTTTTCAGATTGTGGAATGTGAAACTTCCCAGAAAAGTCTATAAGAACAATGAAAAAAGAAGCCTTTCTCAAATTTTATTATATTGAATTTGGCACACAAGTTTTTGAGGAACGTGAGGACATTATTGATTTGAATCAAACATGAGGCAAGTGATCACTGGTCCAAAATTCGCGTAACCTGAGAATGAGTAGCACACCAAGAATGCCTCCTGCTGTATTTCTCCGGTAATTATTTCCACCGTTACCGCGCTGGGTGATATTTTTCATGTTTAATCGGAGCGAGGCAGATTGGTGCGGCTAGAATCAGCTGATTTCGAAGAGTTATCGACTCGGGAGGCTCAAGCCAAAAATATTCCTTCAGACACTTAAAACTCAAAACTCCACGGCCTTCGAATCTTCTACCAAAGAATAAACGATTTAGTTTGCAAACTCTCACGACGGTGCATCAGTTTTTGATCTTCAGATAAAATTGTTACACCTCCTCGTGAGTTCACTCTACTACACCAAATAGTGCAGTATGAATAAAACAGCAATCGTATCCATACCTGACGATTCCGATTACCGTGATCTGTGCAGATACTTGCCGCGAATAGAGTTTCCTACTTCTATAGTGGGTGGTGTATTTCTACTAGAAGTCTTTTCAGCATCCAGATACTCCCAAATATAAACTGCATATACTGATATTGGAAATGGTTTCTTCCAAGGAGGACCTACCCATCTGGTCTCCAAGTAAATATACCGAACAGATAATGATAATAGTGAAAAGCAGAATGAAGTAGACTGAGTTTTGTAGCACCCTGTAATACTTTTTTATATTGCAAATAGTATTTCTGTCAAGATAGTTGTCAATTTTTGCCAATGTACTAACGTCGAAAAAAGTAAAAAAGTTTTTGCCGATAAATCGTATTGTTGTTGGAGTTTGCAGTAATCGCTGTACGAACAGTAGATAGGTACTCATTTGACAATTTTCATTGAATTGAGAGAACCGGTGTTAAACGGGTAGTTTTTTCTTCTGGACTCTACATTTTTTGGCGACCGTGACAGGACAATTGTCATTGAGACTGTTCAGATTACCTTTCAAGTACTTGCTGTTCTTTCCGAAGTAAAAGTATGGAAGGTAATAAAAAACATCTTTCCGTTTTACGTAGATAATTTTTTACGTTACTAACATCAGATCTCGAAAAGTTAATGTCAGCAACTCGACGCGATAATCAACAGATACATAAACATATGCTACGACTTAATTCAAGCAAAGATGGAGGACCTAAAAGTTGTAGATAATAAAGTGTACCAGAACTTCCTGCAGAGTGATGCTACCGAGGACATGCGGACATGACAAATTGTGACTCTTATAAAAGGATGTTTGCAGCCGTGAAACTCCAGTACGAGGAAATATTCAGAAAGGTAACCCATGAAGTAGAACACATCGATGATGCAAATTCTGAATGTTCTCACGTCAGCATGACAGGTAGGCTTTGAAATAACCTTCGATAGAATTTAAGAACTTTAATGGTGACATTCGGAACTGGTTACCATTCTGGTCTCAATTTAAGAAGATCCACGAAGCCAGAGATATCAAGGCAGTCGATAAAATTGATTATTTGATTCAGGCAACTGTACTCTTCAGAAGAGCAAAGCAACTAGTAGAGAGTTGTCCAGTTATTGGGGAAAATTATCATCATATTATCGAAGCCATTATCTCGTTTTGGCAGAGAAGATCTTCAAGTTGAGGTCTACGTCAGAGAATTGCCTAAGTTGGTTTTGTGTAATGCTACATCCAAATCTAAGCTTGAATTGGTAATTTTATATGACCAGATTGAGACACAGATTCCAGCGGTAGATACTTAAGGCATTACATCAGATAATTGTTCTGCGATGCTGCGATTTTTTTTTCTCTCATTGAGTCATGCCTCCCTCAAGATTTATTGAGAGCATGGCAACGTTCCCCGCATAGATTTGAACCTGAAAATTCAGGGAGTGCTACAAATGTCTCAAGGGAGTCAGGTCCGAATAAGTTAGAAACTTGTCTTAAAAACCTCATGAAGTTACTGAAAACCGAAGTTGAAAACGAGCAGCGTATTACATTGGCTTCAGAGGGTTTTGGTTTTGTCAGTCAAGGTAACGCCAGTGCTAATTTATCGAGAACTGTTTCGAACTCTTCGGCTAAGAAAAATGTGAGTTCACCGGTAGTACCGCTACCCACCGCCGCAAACTTGGTTAGTTTCAATTCAAATTGTGCATTTTGTGGGGGTTCTAATCACATTGATGAACAGTGTTTTAAAGCACAGAAGATGTTTTTGGAGCAAAAGAAACGTATTTTGATCAGTAACAAACGTTGTTTTAGATGCCTGAAAGCTGATTATACTTCAAAAAGATGTCGTGGACATCCTAGATGTGCTATCTGTCAAAAATCTCATCTGGTAATAATGTGCTCTGATTTGCCTAACAACAAGGAGTCTTTTGATACTCTTGATCATAGTAGGAAACCAGAGGTGGATCCTAACATAGACAAATCTCTAGCCACCTACGACAACTCACGAACCCATGTATTTTTGCAAACGATGAGAGTGAACATATTTGGTACTATTGGGTCAAAGTACGTGAGGGCTCTGATCGATAGTGGTTCTCAACGATCATACTTTTTCAAGTCAACTGCTGAGAAATTGGGATGCCAATCAGTGGGTAAGGAAAAACGTATTCATTTTTTAATTGGGGGCTCTCAAAATGAACGACTTCATGAATGTTGTGTGGTCAAATTAAAGAATCAAAATTATTCATATGATTTAGAGGTTCTGGACCAACCAATAATATGCAGTGAGGTTTCGCCTGTCTGTTCTGGACCATGGATTGAAGAGCTCAAAGATCTCAATATTGAGTTGTCAGACATTGGATCTGCTGGACCTATTGAGATTTTGATTGGTGCTGATCCAGTTGGTCAAATCTTCACAGGAAATCGTCACTCATTATCCAATGGTCTAGTAGCTTATGAAACTTTATTCGGTTGGGTTCTTCTTGGTAAAATACCAATGCACAACAATCTGAATATAGCCAACTCTTTGATCAGCTCAACCTTGTCGTTTCTAGTGAAGGATTCCATCATCAGTTGTTTGTGGGATCTTGATCTATTGGGTATTGAAGAACCAAGCAATCTCAGAACACGGGTTGAATTGGTGTCAGTAGCCAAAGATATTTTTTTAAACACCGTGACAATTAACAATGGAGGTCGTTATGAGGTCCGGTTACCTTGGATTATG